GTCACCTCTAACAAATCAGAGACGGTGTAAAGATCAATGATTTGTTCAGAATGGAAAGAATGAATAAGAAAGAAACAAAAATCCCCGCTAAGTCGAAACTTGGAAACAAGTCGCTTAGGAAAAAGTTAGGGCATCCCGCTGGACTTCCAAATTGAAATTCAAAAGAATTTGTCCGGGAAAAAGCATGAAAGAAATTGAAAAGCCTAAAAGTCGAGAAAAGGATTACCAATAAAAATCCTCATCGAAATAACAAGATCATGTGATCAGACACCAAAATCAAAGGTGAAGTGATTATCGTGTCCAAGAGGCATCAGTGGTTCCTCAAACATCGCAAACTCTTCTTGAGAGAAGAATGCTTGTATCGGGTCAACTGAATGTAGGAATGGAGAACATCATGGAGAATGGGTGGGCACAAATAATTTTGGGCCTTAAATCCTTTTTTCTAAAACCGTGAACCACGCCACGTTACAACCCTTAAACTTCCTAACTGAAGCATGGGTCAATTTGAAAGCGTGCTACAACGAGATAATGTTTAACTGAATCATAAGAGGTATGCTTAAATATCTGTGTTGGCATCATATGCTTGCATTATCTTTCATAAAAAAGAATTTGCAAATTTTGCTCTCTAGCTAGTGACTCGTTCACAACAGAGTTGTGATATCATTTCACTCAAAGTTTTTCAAACTTCAAGACTTACATATGTGTTGCGTTAGAATTATCATTATCATAATTAACATTCTTCTGCATACAAAACAACTGATTGACATCAAGTAAGTTTACACAATGAACAATCGGTAAAGAGCTCAATCTTGTTAGATAAGAGAGGCTTGAATACTCTATTGAAGCAAGAGTCAGATGTCACAAGAGAAATGACTTATCCAAGGGCATGTTTACCAGTGATTCTTTTAGGAGAAAGCATCTTGGTTCTTCACAGTCTGAGTACCCTTTAGGGATGAAGTTAGCATATTCTGCCAATCTGGGGCAATCAAGTCGAGAATCGATCTCTCTGAGGTCAGCCAAATCTAAGACATTCCCCTCAAGCTATCAATCAAAGGCTATCACATTGATAAATCTATTCAAGTTGTCGTCGATCAGGGGCTATCACATTGATAAATCTGTTCAGGATTCATTCAGCCTGTGGCAGTTAAGTCGAGATTCGACAAATATCTCCAAGAAAACTGTAATCAAGAGCAGTTTATTTCGTGATTCAAGAGATTGGGGCAGGCTACCTCATATCGTATTGTGCCACGAATACTCTGGTCTTCTATTCGGCACATATCTTCTCAGAAATCCCATAAACAGGGGAATTCCGTATCCGTACTCGCAAAGTTGTTCAAGCCAATTATGTTACACGATACTACAATCAAGCTAAAAGCGTCATAAAGATCATCCTGATCTAGCCGACGCACGAATCCCCCTTCATTTGCTGCAAACAATTTCAAACCTGATTCCCCAAGTGAATTCAGAAAGTTCAGAGTCATCGTTTGACTGGCACGCACAAGTGCACATCCCAGTGGAGTAAACCAGAGCATCCCCAATGGAGCAAACTGGGGCACTCGCAAAGCTGAACTGGGGCATCCCCAGTGGAGTAAACCGAGGCATTTGCAGAGTTAAACTGGGGAATTCACAGGCATCCATGCCCATCTTTTATCCCCCAAGTGATTCAAGAGGTAATTCCCCAGTGTGGCGTAAACTTGGGGCATATATTCAGAGATATTCATATGGTGTTCAGTGTCCATTCTTCGGAATATTCAGTTATACCATCCTCTCAACAGTTTAGGATGTATGGAAGTTTGGCCAGATTATCTCTTCCCCAACAATGCAATTCATAATTCAGCGGTGTACCTGTAGACTCGCACTGTCAGCAACCCAATCTCCAGGGAAGTCACCGATGATCTTCAGAGCTCCCCAATTCAAATTCTTATTATTATCCCTAGTGATCTTTGGTACTGCAGGTTTCCAGTGCCATTATGTATTGGCATCCCCAATGATGAGCAATAGCTCCCAATAAGCCTTCGCTTATCCCATGAAGCCTATTTCTTTGCATTGCATATACATAACATTGCATCTTCGAAAGCGCGTTGCCGATCCATCAGAATGGATCTTTGCGACAAAAGAAATTCAAACATGCATACGAAGCATAAGCCAGATCAAGTACCTTACATAAAAGACCTGAATTATTCAAGGACAACAATACATCCCCACAAGAGGGTATCGCTTCCAAAATCCCCACCTGGTGACCTTCATCTTCATAATGACCACCAAAATCAATACACCTTGTCATAGATTCCCTTGTAGGTCGTCTGTAGGCCTAGCTTTTGGTAGACCGCCCATAGGTCTTACCATAGGATCTTAGATTGATCATAGATATATATTCCCTTGTAGGTTTCTTGTAGACCTAGTTTTTGGTAGACCGCCCATAGGTCTTACCTTAAGATCTTAGATCGACCGTAGATCTAGATTTCCTTGTAGGTTTCCTGTAGACCTAGTTTTTGTAGACCGCCCGTAGGTCTTACCTTAGGATATTAGGTCGACCGTAGATCTAGATTCCCTTGTAGTTAGCCCGTAGACCTAGTTTTTGGTACATCGCCCATAGATCTTCCCTAGCAGATCGTCAATAGGTCTCGCTTTAGAACCTGAGATTGCCTATTTGCTAGGTTCTTCCAATAGATCATCTTAGAACCTGAGATTGCCCGTAGGCTAGGTTCTTCCTTAGATCATCTTATAACCTGAGATCTCCCGTAGGCTAGGTTCTTCCTCAGATCATCTTAGAACCTGAGATCTCCCGTAGGCTAGGTTCTTCCTCAGATCACCATAGAACCTAAGATCTCCCGTTGGCTAGGTTCTTCCTTAGATCGTCGTAGAACCTGAGATCTCCCATTGGCTAGGTTCTTCCTTAGATCATCTTAGAACCTGAGGTATCCAGTAGGCTAGGTTCTTCATTCGATCATTTTAGAATATGAGATCGCCTGTAGGCTAGGTTCTTCCTTAGATCATCTTAGAACCTGAGATCGCCCGTAGGCTAGGTTCTTCCTCCGATCATTTTAGAACCTAAGATCGCCCATAGGTTAGGTTCTTCCTCAGATCATCTTAGAACCTGCGATCGCCCGTAGGCTAGGTTCTTCCTCAGATTATTTAGAACCTGGGATCGCCCACAGGCTAGGTTCTTCATCAGATCATCGTAGAACCTGAGATTGCCCGCAGGCTAGGTTCTTCTTCAAATCATCTTAGAACTTGAGATCGCCCGTATGCTAGGTTCTTCATCAGATCATCTTAGAACCTAAGATATCCCTTTGGCTAGGTTTTTCCTATCAATCATCGTCGAACCTGAGATCGTCCGTAGGCTAGGTTCTCCAACAAATTACTCTCGTGTTTCACCTTAGGATCATAGGTCGTTCGTAGGCCTTTATCCTCTGTCTTTTTGTACGAACCTTTGTCTTGTATCGGCATCACGCCATGTTGTGAGTCCAACCTCCATCTTGTTTTAGCCTCTGTTGCTACGTTACGAGTCCAATCTCCGTCTCTTCACTAGAAAACAAAAACAAATTCTTTCCCCAGCAGATATCACAAAAATAAATAAATACTGACACTTTCTCTCAGAACAAATTTTTGGCATTGATATTTAATCATCTTCTACCTCGAACGTCCGAAAGGCACGCGCCAATTGTACTTTCAAGTTTAAGACGATTCAATAGGGGCAGCTGTAATACCCCAAATTTGTCCTACCCTTTTACTTTTATTTGGCTTGTGCATCTCACATTTTTCTCATGTATATGACCTTCATTAGGGAGGCTAACGACTCATGCATCATTCATCAATAAATTTAGCATGGGATAAATATTCATGAACAAGATTAGGGTTTTATCAACTGACTGAGGTGTATATGTCAATAAAGCTTGATTCTTCTGGTTATTTTTCAAGGCAGTGAAATTGTGGAATTAGGGTTTTGTATTCATGGATGTTGTGGATCTTTTCTTCATCAAGCTACAAGGTCATCCTCCATCAAGAATTCATCAAACACAAGTGGATTAGGGTGTCACATCTTCTATGTGCAAATTTTTAATATCTATCGACTGAGGTTCATTGACCTTCATATTACATTTCTTTCTATATTTCAAGGCGCCCTCAAGGCATTATTGTTATCCATAAAGTCAAGATATAGTGTGGATTAGATTGCAAAATGCAAGCCATGGTACATAAGATGAAATTGTGAGTTCATTGAGTTTAAAATGTCATCATTCTTTCAAACACTTGTTGCTTCAATTACAAGTTAACTAGGATTTCAAGAGAAATGAGATGCCAATTTGGATTCATTGAAACTTCTAATTGTGCTCGACATTAATATTGGCTCAAGATCTCAATTTCATGATTTATCAATGGTTGATTCAAGATAAGATTGGAAGATTCATGTAGTTCAAGATGCCATCTTCAAGTTCACTTAATTCATCTCCCATTATTAAAATCTAGGCATGACATATAAATGGATTCAGATTCAATTCTTTGTAAGATATCAAATTGGATCCAAATTTTGAAGCGAGGCATCCCATGATAAAGTTCAACGTTAATTTGGGAAAGTTAACTTCTAGCCAAAGTTCCGTTTAAATTTATGATTGTTTCATTCAAGTTACAAGCATAATGGAGGGAAAGTAATTCAAATTTGAAATCAAAGGCTCCGTTATAAAAAACCATTTCAAAGCATGGTAGCTCATTTGAGTTCAGATCACAAACCTATATTTCAAATACATACAGCATCTAAGTTCCATCCAATTACATTCATAATTACACAACATTTTTTGGTTCTAAGCCTAATCCTAAACCTATTCTTCAAGTCTTCAAGCTGCTTCGTTTCATCTTCATGATTTAACCTTCTCTTGCTCCCTTCAAAAGTTTCCCCCAAGCTCCAAGAGCCAATTGAATCATGTCAAGACAACCCTGCACACAAAACCATCCAAGTCAGACCAACACACAAAGAACTGAGTCAATATCTCAACAATTTGAAAATGGTGCCATCTCACATAAAAAAAACAGATGCGGCTTCTACAACAGAGAGAATCCGATCTAGTTTGGATAATTCTGAATTGGATTTACAGGCCATTAGAAATGCACGATCGAGTAAACCAGGCTATGAGGAAGAACTCCATGTTCTTGAAGATGCTAAAGGAATTCCTTGTTTCAAAAACCATAATCTGCAGAAGACTAATCACTAATAATCCCGGTATCCTTGCCACTTCAATTTAATGTCGTAAACCCGCATTCAAATAAACCATACCAGAAACTTACATCAGTCCAAAATAGCACCAACTCAGCTCATTCCTAAACCACCATGCATAAAAGAATTTCCTAAATGCCATAATTGATTCCCCAACTTCTTCTAACCATTTTGTTACTGTCAACCATAACTAAACCCCTAACCAACTATAACATCCCTAACATCATAACAAAATCCTAACTACCCTGCACATAACCTTCCAGCTCATAAAAACAAAATTCCAAAAATTAACTCTCACTCTCTCAACTGTCAAAAACCGAATTCCCTCTAACATCTCCTAACAGTTTCTAACTAACCATCCTAATAACCTTTAACTGCATCTAATAGAAAACTCTCAGTAGATGAAAAAAGATAATAGAATGTAAGAGAAGAAAGAGGGAGATTCACCATTTTCTTTCACACAGATAATTATTCACAAAGAACTCAGCAAAAAAATATTGATTCTCTCTATGAACTCCTCATCACCATCTTCACCTCCTTCAACCGATTTACTTCAACCTCCATCAATATTTTGCAGCCTTCTGTAACACCATCAATCTTGCACCTTGAAGCTTCTGCAGCAAACTACATAGCAACACCTTCAGTCGTCACCATAACCTTCTGCTTCCACCTTGCACCTTCAATTTTCTGCTTCTTAATCAACGATAACGTCATCATCGCATATCCTTCATCATCATCAACAACAAAGCTTAAACAATCTGTAACGACTTCATCTTCAGCATATTAATCATCACATTCAACATTGATAGCAAAGCTTCAACAATCAGCAATTCTGAATTCGCAACATCAAAAGAATTCACGCATTGCCAAAGATTAATAACTGAAATAGCAGAAACTGAAACTCAAAGAAAGAGGAAGGATATATCACAAAAAGAAAATTGCGAAGAATACCATACCTTATATGTTGCTGTTTGTCGTCGCCGCCATTGAAGATGTGCAAACGAATTCTGATCAATAAACCTTGAATTCTTTCTTCTATCCTATTTTGCGTGTGATTCTCATTCTTCAAAGTTTGAAGACAGAAAAGTTGAATCAAAAATTGAATGAAGAAGAGAGAGAAACAATTAGACAAATGAGCGGTTGTGTATGGTGTGGTTAGAGCTATCACAGTGGCAGAACTGTCATGTTGAGGATGAGACGGAGATTTCGTCGAACAAGGAAGCTTAAAGCTTCCATGGAAATTAACCTAAGGAAAAGACGCGAACGTTGATGGAGAAGGCATTGCGCTGAGCAAAACGAAGACGAGACTGAGAATGATAGACCAAGACAGAGTGTCATCTGCAGTGTGAAGAAACGAAGAAGATATCGATGGATGCAGCAGCGTGATTTTGAAAAAAAGGGCAAAACGGTTAACCCTAATCTCTTTAAACATGTTTAACTCTTTGTGTTATTTATGCTTAACCTGTTTAATTTAATTCAAGTGAGGATTAATTGGATAATAGGATAATTATTGTGGGTGGGCTGAACCGCAAATCCCTTGCCTAGGCTCATTGTATTTTTGTACATCATAAGGTTTATGAACAAAAAAAGTTTATTGGACTCATGTTGATGGACATAGCACCTTTTCTTCAACACCCCTGGTCCTGGCTTGCAATTCATGACCATAAGCCTCTTGGTACTTTTTATTGGTGTAATAAAAAGGGCTTTTGGATTCATTCTGAATTGGGCTTAGAACTAGAATTCTGAATTGCTGGATTATACACCATGATCCGTAGATAGAGCCTCTTGGATGTCTCCATTTGATTCGCTTCTTATAATTTTGCGGATAATTTTTAATTGACCGGTTGAAGCTTCCACAAGTATTATGTAGGGTTTTCTTATCGCTTGCATGGCTTTGAAGAGGCAACGGGCCATCTCCATTATAAAATAAAAGAGACTTGGTTTTGAAGCAAGCTAAGAGATTAATTGTAATCAAAGTAATTCAGGGAAGCTTTTAGTATAGTTTTCTTATTGCTTACGTGGCTTTGAAGAGGCAACAGACCTTCTCCGTTTGGTATCATCATGACCTTATTTTATTCCTCATTTTCGTACTTTATCACATTTCTTTACCGCTTTTCTATATATCATGAGAAGTAGGATTTTACTGCTTTCTGATGCCATGGGAAGTAGGAATAGAGATGTATGACGGGGTCTCCGTTTCTGATCATGTCAGGAACCCCTCTGGTTTATTTAAAGACCCGTTTAGGGAAATTCCGCCATGTGTGCATTCTGTTTTCTACTTGTGTGTGGTTTGTTTAAAACCCTACCTTTGTGTAGGTATTTTGTAAGCGTGTTTATATTATGTGCCTGCATTATTCCCCCATCCCTTATTGAAGTCCTCAAAAGGAGGCAAGCGGGGAGGGTTCGTGATCGACCCCCGCAACTTCGTCCGTGTCATCCTTAGCTCATGACGCACCATGAAGCTTCAGAGTTGTGCCTGCTCTTGTTATCGAGTCATCAAGTGGGGAAGGGTTCCGCAATCGAACCCCCACGCTTTGTCAGTAGTTCGTATTGGCCGATGTTGATACTCTGTGATCATTCATATTGTCTTTTATCGCTTACCTCGATCTCTTATATCTTGGTTAGGTGTTCAGTCGCTTTGGACATCACTTTTTGTTTCTTCATCTCACTCCCGCTTGTTTGTCTCGGGTGATACGCTCCCCTTTTGCTAAAGCATTTCTCTTCTTTTCCTTACTATTTTATGTGTGTCCTTCTTCAAGCTTGCTTACTTTATCCTTTTACATACCATGTTCACTTAGGATGTGCTTGCTCCGTTCGAATGCGAGTTAGACCTTAGGTTGCAAACCATGCATGCTAACATTAGGTAGACGTTTCCCTTTTGTTAATTCAAATCTTAGGACCACCATTGTATGATAACATTAGGTTAGAAATAGGTTAGTCTCCCTTAGACTATTTTCTTCCCCTTTTGCATATGCATTTAAAACTAAACCCTTTTTCTTTAGCAAATCATAAAACATGCTAATCACACTTAAACCCTTTTGCAAGGTAACAAAAACACAAACCAATTCAAACCTTTTTGTGTGCCCAAGCACCTTTCCTCTAAAAAACCCTTTCCAGGTAAGGACTTGATTAATTTACTTCTATGCCAACGCATAAGTCTCCAAAGGTTGAGCTGCGGCATAAGGCGGAATTAACATCGTCCATAAAAAACACAAAACAAATAAAATCATGTGAGCCGAACTACGGTAACTCTGATTCCTAAAAAAGGATACGTAGGCATTAGGGTAGGGCCCAAGCGAGTGCAACTTTATTTTCCCTACATTATTTTCTCATTTCTTTTGCATGCATTATTCCTCAGTAATAAATAGTAAGCATAGTTTAAAGACACCCATAATATAGACAACAAGAGTGGATACCATAGAGTACTACGGGCGTGTGGGGTGCTGATACCTTCCCCTCGCAGAACAGACTCCCTTACCCGATCTCTTGGTCGCAAGACTGTGACTTCTCCCTTCTCAGGTTTTCTCGATGTTTACCTTTCCCTTCATGTAGGATAAAAGACGTTCGATGGTAATTTCATTGTTTGATGATTTTCAGTCGGTTGTTTCACCAGCAGCAACGTCAATCATTAGTCTTGTGTTGTATAAGAGACCATTGTAAAAGGTGTGGATGATCAACCATTCTTCTAGACCGTGATGTGGACAGAGTCGCAACATGTCTTTGTATCTTTCCCATGCTTCGAAGAGAGATTCTATTTCCTTTTGTTTAAAACTGTTGATATTGGCTCTTAGCGTAGCCATCTTACTCGGTGGAAAATATCACGCTAGGAAAACTTTCTTCAACTCGTTCCATGTGGTAACAGAGTTGGATGGTAGAGAATGGAGCCGTGCTCTAGATCTATCTCGTAATGAGAAAGGAAAAAGACGAAGTCTTATTGCTTTAGGGTTGATACCCTTTGCTTTTACTGTGACTGCGTACTGCACAAACACGGAAAAATGAAGGTTTGGATCGTCCGTAGGACATCCTGAAAATTTGTTTTGTTGGACAACTTGTAATAATGAAGGTTTTAACTCAAAATCGTTCCGTGCAATGGTGGGAGCAGCAATACTGTTGTGGGGTTCCTCTTGCGATGGGATATCATAATCCTTCAGAGGGAAATTTTGGGGTCCTTCAGCCATTCTTGGTTCAAGAAGAGAATAGTTAGGAAGATTGAATTCGGGAAGGTTTTACTTGATTCGGTATTCTCTAATTCGTCGTCTTATACTAACAAAACGCTCGACCTCGTTGATTGGTTGCTCTAATTCTTCGCCTTGAAAGAGAGTGCTTGGCATACAATCAACTGATAAAATACAATAAAATTGGTTGCCTTAGTCTATACTGCATAACAAGGGATTCACGTTATTAACTAAATCAGTCCTCGACAACAGCGCCAAAAACTTGATCGCGACATTGAGATTCTGTTGGGTGTAATGACTGCAAGTGCACAGTCTAATCGCATAGTTTTAAAAGATATCGATCCCACAAGGACTGATGGTCAAACTACTGGTATCTAGGGTCACCATGTAAAGCTAAGGCTAATTATAAAATTATGGTGTTGGGATTTAAACGAGAATTAACTAAAATCTAATCATTGATAACGGGACACCGATATGTAATTTGTCAACTTCAGGGATTCAATAAGTCATTGTCATAATTTTGAGTATTAAAACACTGTCTCAGTGGAAACTATTAATTTAAAAACCCTTCTCTCACACTTTCATTCTATCGATTCAGGCCATATTATTAAATTCAAATGAGCGCTCTCACTGTGTCATTTAAAATTTAAAAGTATTTTTTGAAAACAAATACAGTCCAATTAATTTTAAAGCGCTCTCGTTGTTTTTAAAATTAATGTTCAATCACCACTATCTGGTTAAAATCTCAAACTCTCGCTCTGTTGATTTTATCCTTAGTCTGTCTTTTACTCTCGTAAAAAAACAATTTAATGTCAAAATTAGA